CGCAGCTCCTGCCCGGCAGCCCCGCGGCGCCGCCACCTCCCGCCCATCCCGCCGTGCCCACCCCGCGGTGTCACCCGTCCAGCTCTGGGGTGCCAGGGCTGAGGTCTTTTTTTTTTTTTTTTTCTGAAGTAGCACTGCACAGACTTAGAGATGTTAGGCGCGATCTTTCTCCTTTTTGCCTTAGGTCCCTCGATGTCCTCGATCTTTCGTGCAATAATGTAGATAAGGAATCCCAACCACCACCTAGGAGGGTTTGTTTTTACTTTCCTGGTCAGTTTGTCCCTTACAGGGGTGTGTGCGTGGGTGTGATTTTTGTTCCCGTTGAGGTCGCTGTGTTGGTAGGTTGTCGGGTGTTTATTTTATATCCCCTCGGCTGTCGGGTTTTGGACCTTCTTCCTGTAGGAGAGGTTGTAGTGTCACAGACGTTACCTCAGTTTGTCACTGTTGAAAAGGAAAAAAAAAAAAAGACTAAAAATGTGAAAAAAAGACAAAAATGACAAAAAGTATTATAAAAGCAAAAAAAAACCTCCATGGCAGTGAAGACTTTTTTTTTTAAAAAAAAAAAATAAAACAAAAGCGGTGCTCGTGTTGCAAACTCAGTGGTGCTTCTCCAGGGTGGGAATTGTTTGCTTAAAGCACAGCCCTCGCTTGAGAAAGCTGGGATCTCTTTCCAGGAAAAGCTGCTCCGATGTGTTCCTTGGCACAATCCGAGGTGCCTGAAGACGTTGGACGTTTGGGGTTTGCACCTTGGCCCCCGTGAGGTGGTCCCAGCCGTGCCAGGCACCCCATGCCCATGCGGGGAAACCGAGGCTGGGCCTCGCTCCAGGCTCTTGCTGGGGCTCCTGGGGACACGGGGCCACGCTGGGCACCCTGCTGGGCAGGGCTGGGTCCGGTGAGCAAAGGCTCAATGGGGGGACTGTCACCACCACCGAACACCACCAGTCCTGTCCCAACCACCACACGAGTGCCCCGCAGGGTGAACCGCCACCACTGAGCGGTGCCGGGTCAGGGGAGCGCTAAGCAGCCCTGGCCAGAACAACGGGAACGTGGGAGCAGACCCAGGCAGGCAGCGGGAATGGCAGCTGGCACCGAGGGCACCCAGGGCTGGGGAAGGAGCCCTCTGGGGGCACCCAGCCCCCTCCTCCAAACGAGCCCGACTGCTTCGAACCAAACGTATGCCAGCCACGTCTGCAGGCTAATTTCAATTTCCTGGTAATTATGCAAATGAATGTGGATTTAATTAAGGGCAGATTTCATTAAAGCCTTCTTGGGGAAATGAGAGCAGGGTGGGGGAGAGTGAGGAGGAGGCAGAAAAGGAGAGATAAGGCAGTGCTGCCCCGGCAAATGAGTGACCGCAGAGACAGCAGAGGGGCCAGCCGAGCGGCCCTGCGGGTGCTCTCAGCCCTGGGGAGCACCAGGGCCTGGTGGCCACCACGGCCCAGGAAAGGACGGGGCCCCTGGGCCTCTGCAGCCTCCCCTTTGTCATGCACTCGCCCCCCGCACGATGCCAGCCAGCAGCAGGCCCGGAGATGCCACCGCTGCCCGGAGCCTGGAGCCGGCAGCGCAAGGGGAACCGGGAAGCAGGGAAGGGAGCGCCCGCCTTGCTGCAGGGAGCAGCGCACCCTGCTCAGCAGCTCGCTTCAACAGCCAAGGTTCCAGTCTCCTTCCTTTCAACCCC